GGGGGGGGGGTCTGAATTGAGCGATCAATTATTAGACCCGGACGTCCCAACACTTGCTTCGCAAGACAAACTCAAGGTATCCCCTAAAGGGCTACCTTTCGTGATTTAGCCGTTCAGCCCGCCCTTTCATGCCCTTTCAAATATTATGGGAACTTATGGCAACCAACAGCCTGAGCGAATCCGCAAGACTCAACGTCAACCATTTCTTGCCTCAGTGTCCGCATTTTGCCCACACTTGGCAATCAGAACCCCGCTGTGGACAAGAAAATAGGGATCATGGTCGTGGCCTCCGAGGACTGCATGAATGGCTGGACCACAAGCCTCTGCTATTTGCTTGTCCTGGTGGAGGCTCAGGTGAGTTAGTGCCAGTAGCAGCTCGCAACCTTGCTCCTGCAGGATCTTCACGCACCTGAGGGACCGTCAACACGCACCTGAGGGACCGTGAACATGAATGACACCGTCTTGATGACCTAGCATTGAACAGTCTTTGTTGAGGTGTCACACATTCGATACCGGATCCATCCGGATTTCCAAGAAGCAAGTGGCCTCCGAGCATGCACCACTGGGTCCTCAAAAGCAACCTTCTCGCTGGGGTGTGACAGCTGTGGCGTCGCTGGAGTGCACAGGCCGAATACACCAACTTTCACCCCGCGACCGTGGAGAGAAACCTCGAACATGTCCAAATCCAAAGCAGTATGAAAATTGTTCATTGCCGAAGCCTCCCGCACGTTCGAAGCCAACCATGGGAAATCTGACATGTCCATCAGTTCGCGCAAACGCTGGTCTCCATAGTCGAACTCATGGTTTCCCAAAACACAGTAATCAACTTGAAGGGCATTTAGCAACTCGATGGTTGACTGCCCGCGATGCTCGCTGGCATGCAATGAACCTCCAAGCAAATCTCCGGGCATCACCAGTTTTGTGTGCGGCTGAGACAGTCTGCGTGCCAGGCTCCGAACCAAAGCAAAACGTTCCGGTTTGTAAACATCATTAACAGCTAGCACTCGCAAGTGGGGCCGAGGGTTTGCCGCATTCCTTCCAAAAGCACCGAAACATCCATCAAGGCATTGCATCAAACTTGCTTGACAGTAAACCTTTCAGCTTGTCCCAGCATAGCCAAGCACTGCCTTGAACCACATAACTTAACATACATTTCCAGTCATGACCATCCTTCCCGAGCGAGGAGGGCCAAGAGGAGCGGGGAGGGCCAAAAGGAAACATCATGTTGCACTTGTCCATCTACAAAAGCTTGATCATTGTGCACCTGGAGAGCTGTATTGACGTGTCCAAGCAGGGTGCCGACATCTTGACTCCAGCCGTTCTGCCTTGTCAGCCAATTTAAAATCAGTATAATATATGTATATATATATATATCTGTGTGTGTGTTTAGTCAGTGGTCTTGGGTACTCCTTTGGGTTGGCTTAATCCTCAAGCACTTCCAACAAACTGCAAGCACTTCCAACTAACTGCACTGCGGTGACAACAGGTGTTGCTTTTGCAGCACGCAGGTCCTTCAACTCCAGCCGCTGATCATGAAGGTCATCTCGAATGCTGCAGGCAGTCGGCAGCAGTACTGCCAGGCCAAAAAGGCCTGCAACCTGTGCTGCAATCGGCCACACAGAAACCTAGCAGCCCGGTTCTCACATACATTCACCACCTTAGTTTTTATGCCTGAGTAAACACGAGCAGGTATGTTGAATACCTACATTCCAAGCCAAATGTGTGTCAGTCTGCTCAAACACCGCGACAACACAAAGAAAGCTCTTGTGTCCTCAGCCCGCCCAACCTTCATGGAGAGTAGTGGAACCAAGCGGCCTCAGCACTTTACGGTCTTCATGGATGAGTATGAGCGAGTACCAAGCAGCAAAGCAAATTCTTCTGTTACTTCCGTTGCGTTCAAGATCGAAGAACGTATGCCCTCACACAGAAGTTTCCACTTGGTGGGGAGCTGCTTAAACCGTTTGGAGTTGACATTAACCATGCAGTCCAACAGAAAGGTCAAAGCATCAACGGGTAGGATGCCTTGTTCGTGGATCCAACCCAAATGCCCGCCAAGTGGTGTCTATTCTAGGCCATGGCACAGCTGGAGGCTGCGCTGGGAAGACTTGGCTTAGCTTGCAGTTTGAGCTGTCAATCAGCTACAGCCGGAAACATGCATGTCAGCCAATGGCCGGACCACACCGGCCCAATAGTTGATATATAGTTGATGTCTTGTCTGGTCTTCTCTTGTCTACCTTGTCTTGCCTCACAGCTTCGCACTCTCCTTTTCTCCTGCGTCTAGCGCCACAAGGCCACCGGTAAAGTGCAACAAGTCCTTCCAATAAGGATCGAGATGCTGTTTAGATGCGTTCGGTCTCACACTCATGCAACATAATCTGTAGTTGCTTTCAAAACGGCTTGCATCCACTAAGCGCACTTCACTTGAGGTCTAAGGCCTTAAACTTGAACTAAAACCATCTCCGGAGTGTTAAGGATATGGATGGACATGACATTTGCTGCCTCCTCCAGTAAAGGGTCTGCAGAATTGTTCACAGACTGGAGCCGCGCGGAGAAAAAGAGGTGTGTCGAGATCGAAGACCCCGGTGGCACAGGTCCAAAGTGTTAGCTAGTTAAGTACAAGCATGGCGGGAACATCTCAGCTCGCAAGGGAGCTGGGGAATGGTCATGCAGTCACGATGCATGTCGCATGCCACTGCCCTTCTAGAGCCTCAGGACCCTAAATATTAGTCAGTCCAAGTTTGATGTCAAAAAAGGCTAAGAGTCTAAGAGGCAGAGAGGGCAATGACCCAAATGACTGGACTTCCTGGAGGACTGCCAAGCCTGCTTTGGAAAACCAAGTCAATTGACTCAGAGATGGCACAAGAAACTCCGTCCAGCGTCGGTCTGAACAGCGGGATTTCTTCCAAGCTTGGAAGGCGCAAGCGTTCCCAAACCGACATCCATGTCATCCAAATGCGCTGCTGGCTTTTGTCACGACATAGACAGCTCACGCACGACCACCCAATGGTTGGATAGTCTAGGCGTGTGCACTTGGGAGTTCCTGCGCATGTGAACCGAAGAAAGCTCAAAAAACTGTGCGCTGTCATTTCTTCCACTCTCTGGCCAGCACTGAAATTCTGGTAGGAGGGTTGCTTGGCGGCAATGCTCGCTGGCAAACTCGGGAGTCCATCAGGATGCAAACGCTATTTACCAGCATCGTGTCGCAGAAGAATGAGATGTGGGAGGCCAGTTCACAGTAGCTCTCAGAATCTAGATGCTTAAATCATCTTAAAGCGGAATTCTGGAAGTATGTCTTGCTGGCCTGGAACAACAACACGACGCAATTGAGCTGATTACTCTGGACCTGCTTACGCATCAAGGGGCAGAACCCTGATCTTTGGTGGCATTTCATTGACGCACGGTCGCGAAAAAAACAAGTAGAGACAACCGTCAGGCGGAGAGGCAAACCCCCACATCTCAGGTGTTCACGTTCTTCATGGCATGACAACAATCACACACAAAGACTTGTTGTTGTCCAGGGCGACCTTTTCCCCACAGCTACGTGTGGTCAAACAAATTTCAGGTTCAAAAAAAAAGGGTTTCTTGATGAGGTTCCCTGTTAGCAGCTGAGCCAGTGGAATCGGAATAGCAACCTTGAGGGCTTTGAGGGGATGCTCAGGCTGTATCTTGTGCAGGTTCAGCTGAACATATGGGGGTCCGACTCGGCATGCGCGTTCGAAAGGATGGGCAACGGCATTGCAAAGTGATCTGATGCCGCTCCTGTGAGACTCGCTTGGCAGTGAGGAAGGTGAACTTGAGGCCAAGTCTACCTTTCCTCAACCTCGTCTGGTGATGCTTCCTCCCGCTGAAAGTCTGAAAACAACGTGTGAACTCACAGTGCTTGGGCTTTGTTCAACAAGCATGCAAGTCCATGTATTGAAAAACCCACCCTGCTTGACAAGTACACTTAATGTCTTCTTTCCTCTTTGAACAAGCTGGGGCTGGGGAAGTCCAGAATCACCCATCATGCATACCGATATATGTATATACAGTATACAGTATACGCATGGTTTATTTGGATCCTCTGCTCGAATGTGTTTGTGCCGATATTCAACGACGAAGCAGGCCAAGTCAGCCTCAAATCCGAGCAAACTCCAAGATCTAAAGTGCAAAGTCTTGTGAAAAGTCCTGAAGCACACACGGGTGGCTTGGTGTTTCTTCATGGTTTTATCGGGTGCTTTTGCAAATGGAGTGCGCTCGGCCCCCATATGTCCAACCACAAGGCTGACGACGCTATATTTCGCACCCAAGGTTATTCCAAAGGTTGACCAGGGCCCACTAGCACGCCAATGTGGATGTTGAAGTGCCACCTGTGCCCCATAGGCTAAAAAACAGGTTGACAGGCACACGACATTAGCACTCCTCAGTGTCTGGCTTGGCCTGCTTCAACTGTTTGGGGCCTCACTAAATCACTAAGGCTGGCTGGCCAACAGCCCACTTAACGAGGCACATAATTGCAAAACAAATGAGTTGTCGGAGTCATTGGAAGAAAAGCGGCGTGGCAGCACTGGACCTTGCTAAGTGGGCTGGCTGGCGTTCCTGTTTCCTCAGTGCCTTGATCAAAGAAGTGCAGCCATTCCTTATATCTGTCCATTCACCACAGCAACAGTAGAAAATGGAGGTCTGGATATTCAAGAGCACACCAAGAAAATCTACATGTCTTCTCTTGGGTATAATGGTGCTCCTATCTGCCTTGTTGATGGTTCCTGGCTTGCGCTTCTGGCTCAAAGGAAAGGCAAAACCTATTAGAGGGGGGGCACACAGTCTCGCACAAAACGCAACTTGCCCTTGTGCTACTGCAGCCATCCTCCTAGTGGTGGAGGAGTCACTCGAAAGTCTGGATGCACATGCCTGCTCAAAATCATCCATGCCCATTCAGTAAATTGTAGCTCGCTCAAAGCATTTAACGAAAGGCTGAGCGAGCGGTGTTGGCCGGCGCGTGCGTATTCACAAAACACACCATGATGTAGCTCCCTCAGCCACAAGGAGCCCCCTGAGAAAATGCTTGAAAGCCACAGTTCTGAGGGAGTGACATGCTGAGAGGGAGAATCAGCGTGTTCATGGAGAGGTTCTAGTCACTGCAAGCGGGCCAAGCTCCGAACCGCCCTTCTGAGTTTTACCCCACCTTTTTTCTTGTGTCCAAGCGAAGTCTTGGAGTAAGAGAAGTCACGAAAGCGGGTTGGTGTGACATGCCTTCACAGATGCTATAGGCTGCTGAATAAAGCTCGCGTATCTGGCTGCACGTGGCCAGCTGCTGTAAAAACTACTGGAGCTGCCGAAAGCCATGCCTTTCAGGGTGCGGCCTCTGAGAAACGGAAGGCTCAAGGGGCAAATGCAGGAGATTGTATAATACTGTTGCGCAAAGCCAGAAGCCAGGGCCGCAGCAAGAGCAACCCGCGCTCCAGTGGAGACGTCGTCCAAGCGTGTCCATCTTGGAGACACTCACAATAACAAACTAGCAAACAGTTTGCTCAACTTGTATCCGAGGGGCAGTCTTAGCCTTAGTTTGCCAATCTATCTGGATGCCGCCAAGTGCAAAACTCTATCGCATTCTTGCTTAGATTCTCCAAGTACAACTGGGATCGGCAACACGGTGGATAGGAGAAAAGGCCGACGGTTCTGAATCAGCGCATTGTCGGAACCTGCTACACTGTCCCCGAACAGTGTAAGGGGCAAATGAGACACACCAACTTTAACTCCAATTTCTCCAGTCAGGCATGGCGTTGGCAGTTGCAATAAGAATCAGGCACCACGAGGCAACTTGCGCACATGAGGACGTGGTGCGACACAACTGACTATTGAAATGTGCGCGGCACTCTTGCGGAAAACGTCCAAGTCAGTCCACCTTGGACAAACTGGCAATTGGACACCAGTACCAGTTTCGGCTCAATCGAAACAACGGCTTGTAGTTTCGCCCCAATTAGCATCCAAGGTTCTTGTGTTGTGTATGTGCAACACCACAACACTTGCTTTGCCTCTCCATTGCTTCTCCAGGCACCACTGGGACGCAAATGGACTGCCAATTCTGACTCAGCGCATGCCTGGTCCAGATTGGCACGCACACGGCCACGCCCCTCCTTGTCAATATCGGGTTCGGCTGGTCGCTAGTTTTATTCAATGAGGTACTGGATTGTGGAGCATCTGCGTCGTTGGCGTCATTGGAAGCAAAACGGTGCAGCAACACTGGACCTTTCTATGTGGGCTGACTATGGCTGACTAGGCCGCCCGCCCAGTGAATAAGGTTCCTGTGTTTCTCAATGTTGGCAGTGCCCATAAATGCATCGATTCGATCAGAAACACACATCTATTCCTCATACTGAGTATATCCATCCATCCACCACTGCAACAATCGAAAACTGCGGTCTGGATCTTCAAGAGGTCAAAAGCACCCCAAAAAGATCAAATTTGATTTGTCATCCATGTTCAGGCACACACCAACCCCAGAAACGAGGCCTGGCACTTGCACGGCCTCGTGTCTGAGCATTTGTTTCAGAACTGTGCGGTGTTAAGACACGGCTGATGTGAGAACAATCTCAGGAGGTTTGTGGCTTCAGGTTTGCTGGTTTGAAGGGCCAGTACAAATGGATGAGTTGTAAAGCGTTGGCTTGTCATAAGGTTGTCGTTGACAGCCGGACCTCATTGAAGAAAATGCACCCTGCTCTGGCACGTCGGGCACGTGCAGGTTCCAACAAAATCAAAGACTGCCTTCAGGCTGGCTAGCAGGAGCTGCGCAAGTGAACAACTCGGTGAATACCCCTTGATGAGCAACCACTAAGATCCTTCAGGCCTACTTGCCATGTTCTCAGCGACACCTGTTAGGGATCTAGCTCCTATGTCTTTCTGCTGCACTTGCAGCTGCATGCCCCTTGAGTGGGGTGCTTGAACGATGCAGAATCGGGTAGCGCGATGATCTAGTCGTCACTTATATAGTGGTACAACAACATACAACAATCGTCTTTAGCCAGCACCCAACTGTTGCTTGGCTGATAAACACTCACACCCACGTTTTGATCTTGGTGAGGAGGAGTGTTCTCCCAGTCGGCTGTGAAATCAGCCCATGTTCAAAACCTTCCTCAGCAAGCCCACAAAATCTCAGCAAAGAAGTTGACTGCATATATCTACTATTTAAAGCCGGCACGATTGCTGCAAGCGTGCACAGCCAGCAGTTCCCGCAATACATTAATTGATGGCATAGGCACCTGGCCGAATAATGTGTTTGGTATTGTTTTGTCATTGAAGCGGCGTGCACTTCCTACCAGAAAACAAGGTCCATATCCTCCCTGTTTGAGAGCATGTGCAGTCAAAGCCTAGCAGTGTTTTACAAGTCTGGCGTGGGTGTCATCCAAAGGTGTGCAGCTTTGACGGCTAGCTCGCACGTGGGGCTCCAGATCGCATTGCGAAGCTCAAAGAATGGCCTGCGCAGCAACCTCCTTATCTGTTGTCTGCCACCTAGTGCTAGTTAGGCAGAAGCCCCAATTCAAGAACTGTTCCATGCACCCTAGCCAAAATCTCTATTGGCAAAGTATGTGGCGAGATTTTCCTGATAGGATAGCGAAAAAATGCACACTCCCAATCATTGGGAACGATCAGGCCAAGCCTCAGCTGCGAATGTGTCTGGCAATGGGTGCTGTAGCTGTGGGGTAGCAAATGAAACACGTTGTCATGCACATGGCGACTTCGAAGGGCCACGGTCATGGGCTATTGAACGGCTATTGGGGACGAGCACAAGCGTGTGGAACTGTCGGGACTTGCTGGCACAGAAACCTTTGGCAGGCTGTTCTGAAATCAAGCAGGTTCGAAATCAAAATTCTGATCGCTTCCTCAACTACTACGACCCCATCCCACTCAGCGACTTCCAACTATGTACTCAAAACCCAACACAGACCAAGGGCTAATATGACACTTCTAGGCTCCATGCTTGTGTGAACATTTCAAGGACACCCCACACCAGTCAGGCTCAAGGAGATGCGGTAGCATACCGTAGCAATGTAGCAACCAACCTCGTGTCAGTCTGCGTACACCTACTTCGGCCTACATGGGCCATGTGGACAAGCAACTCCAGAAAGATCGGATGTGGCCAGAATGGCACCGTCGCTCTTTCTAAGCACATGTCTGCATATGCTGTGCACAGGGATCTGAACAGGCTCCTGCTAGGTTCTTCGTGCTTGAGAGGTTGAAGTACTGCGCTACGCTGAGTAGCGAGCCGCGCGACACATGAAAAGAAACAAAATTAAGGGTGATAACAGTGATAGAAGTTTCGACAAGCAGCCCAAGCAACAGCCTGTGTGCTTGCCCGGCCTGGGTGCCTAAACCCCCACAGGGAGGCACACCAAAGTCAGAAAAAACGGAGGAAATGGCCGCATGGATGATGCAATTCTGCTTCTGCTCGCTGGCCTTCCGGGCACAGAACCTGGACTGCGTGGCAACGACGACAAAATCGAGGCGCACGGATTAAATCTACACTGGGTAACAAGAATATAGTATCCTCAGCAGCTGATTCACCTGATACCAAAGTCATGAAGCAGTGAATGACATCATCTTTGGATCTGGTGATGCCCGGGAGCATCAAGAACTGGGCTGCGAATTCATGATCAGTCTCCAAATCCCAGCCCCGCCCTAGGTACAACCACAAAAAGGCTGACTCGGCGCCGAGCCAAGTCAGCCCAAGACATGGCTCTGCCTTCTTCGTATACTACCCAACAACTGTGCTATCGGAGGCAAACACATGGGGTTGTCAAAGTTGACATGTATGTTCGAAGCTTGGGACATCGCAGGCAAACCAGCTCTCCGGTTCAAATTCCATACATGGCTGGCCGGCGAAATCAAGGCCAACAGTGTACCACTTTGGGGTGCCACTGCGCTTCATGAGCAAGTCAGTTTAACTCGGGCACGATGCTTGCTGGCTCCCAATCGTACTACATTTTCACATACAACGACTATTGACTATCGTCCCCCGATGTCCAAGAAGCATCAGCAATGCAGTTTTCACATAATTTGAATTAATTTGAGCTGGTGGCAGGTGAGCCGACGAAAGCCTTCCAGCTACCTGGGCGAATCGCTTTCTGGGCTTCCCTGTCAATCATCCTGTTCATCCGGTACTCTAGTCTAGCCGCTCTGCCCTCTGTCCACAGGCACGACCATGCACAAGTCAGCCGTCCCTGATGGATGCTGATGGGATCATGGCAACGAGCAGCACCCAACCTAGGGGACCTGTAAGTCCAAGTCGACACATAATGCCGGCCAAGGCTTGACTGCGATGAGATCTCCTTCTGGTCAAAGCAGATTCAAAGGCCAGCTCGGCAGCAGCAATCCCGTTGACCAGCAACAAACGGCATGTGGGATCACAAGCGGTACGCTGTAGGCCTCTGACATGAGGCATATTCAATATCCTCTGGAACAAGTAGGTCCAGCCTCAGCTGCAAAGCCAAGTGGCTGGTCTCGGCTTGTCTTGGACTTTCAGCACACAGCCCGAGCAAGTGCAGCTCCGGCACCAACTGAAAGCACTGGGGGATGCGTGCGACCGGATGCGGGCGGATTGAAGGTTTCGCACCGTTTCGGAAACTCTTGCACTCAGAAAGGCCAAATGCACCAACACGTCACAAGGTTGTGAGCATGCCTGGTTTCAGAGTCTCGCCTGCCAGGGTGGATTCGATGAGAGCATCTCTCAGGGTATATAGCTTCTTGTGCAAGGGCTTGGTACCTTGAGAATGTCAAAGCCTAGTCAAGAGAAGAGAATCTCTGAAACCAGCCTGACTCTGGCCCTTGAGCCACCTGTGTTTTCGAACCCTGCTGTTCTGTATAATGGCGATTTCCTCCCAGTCTGTCCTTCCGTTCAGAGTCGTGCAGGGCCTGCAATGAGAGGGATGAAGGGCCGCAGAAAAAACAGAAAAGCTTCTGCCAGTAGTGCTGCGGAAGTGGAGGGCTTGGAATTGGCTGAGCGCAAAGCTGCTCTAGGAAACTTGTTGCTAATAGGGTGTGCTCAGTGTGCCCAGCTTGCTGGGCAAGTATTGAAACGACGCACGCCATGCTCCAAACTTGGAACATCACAGGCGAGCCAACTCTCCAAAACAATCTCGAGGGGAGTGTTCACATTCCTTTTTGCTTGAATGAAACCCGGGCAGCGTGTAGCAGCACACCTGCTTAGGAGCGAATCGGGTCTACTACAGCAACAAAAATCACTGCACCAAAGCACAGGTTGAGCACAATTCGGGAAGAACGGCCCTGGAATTTGCCAATGCTTTCTGATGTCCAAGAAGCATCAGCAATGCAGTTTTCACATAAATTAATTTGAGCTGGTGGCAGGTGAGCCGACGAAAGCCTTCCAGCTACCTGGGCGAATCGCTTTTTGGGCTTCCCTGTCAATCATCCTGTTCATCCGGTACTCTAGTCTAGCCGCTCTGCTCATCTGTCCACAGGCACGACCATGCACAAGTCAGCCGTCCCTGTTCCGATGCAAGCTCTGCCTGCAAGCCTGTGATGGACAAACAGTTTGGACCGAACGAAGGGTGCAGGGAAAGGTGCTGGCATAGCAAGTGTGTCAGAGCCCAAGCATTTCAAGCCGGATATCTGGTAGACTTAGAGGCACTTCGGGCAAGGGTGTGCCCAGCATCATGGCAATGTTCCGCAGCCCGCCTAGAGCACCATACACTGCGTGGACAAACGTTACCCTGTCTTCCCTCCCTTGGATGAATCAAGCAGGACATGACGAAACAGCCTGAAAATGACGTAAGCGTGACAAGTGACATGAAGCCCCAAGAAGTATAAACGTTCTTCCCCGTGAAGTGATCCTCCTAGAAACTATACTCATGGGCAACCTTCAAACCTCGCCCTTGGCATCCAAACGTGGTTTCAATGCAAAGGGGTTAGAGTTTATAGCATCGAGCCACAGAATGTTCAAGTTCAGTTGCGTTGCCTTTTCCAAACCAGCAGCAACAACAACAAAAACAGCTTATTCAAACTGGTGTTTGTCAGCAATATTTCTCTCACAAAAGCATGGTGTGCACAACCGGAAATTGCTGTCATAGTTCGAAGTTCAAGCTGCATTCCTGACATCCGCTGAAACATTTTAAACCGTCGCATTTGGTGGTAGCGCATGACGTTGGTTGTCATGTGAGGTCATTGTGGGTGACAATTTGCTCTTGTTGCCTTTCATCCAGGTTGGCAGAGCCCTCAAACATCAAAACAAGCGCACGTTGCCAGATTCTTAGCAGAAAAATCCAAAAAATAACAACACACAGTACAATTCATTCTGGCTTGAAATGGCTACAAGCAGGACCTAGGCTCTGCTACAATGCGATCTTTGCCGACATCGGAGGATTCATTCCACCAGGTCCCATCCTCAGCAGTCACGTGCTTTGATCGACATAGACATTTTGGTTTGTGCAAAAAAAGATATATATATATATATAGTTATATATATATATAAGTAAGGACAGCCCAGCCACCTTCAAAACACAAATGATGAACTCTTAGTACAGTAGTCACTCGCCGGGGCGCGGATGTGCCGCAGAAGCTGCGAGGGACCCCTGCACCCTCACAGGGTGAATCCGTGTACAACATCTGAATTCTTGTTTCTGGGTGTGTCTTGCACAAATATCTCAGGTTCCTTCACCGAGGAAATCATGAATCATGCTACCCTGGCACAAGACACGACAAGCCAGGCCTCCGAATACGGCTCATCAGCAGAGCAGATGCATTGAGTCCACGCAACGGGCCCTCTCCAATGACCTGCACCCAAGCCATGGGTGTCTTCTGCACGCGACTGCATGCCCACATGCGACACATATTGCATATTGCAACCTAATGCACACACGCACATCTATAATTACACTGGTTTTTTTCCATCGCTCCTTTTCTGGTTTGTCGAGCTAGGCCTTTTTGGCCTTGAAACATGCCGGCAGGGTGTTCTTCTCCCATCCTTCTCCCTTTGGGATGGCCCTGCCATGACATTGGCTGCAGCTGACCGTCCTTGCCCGTCTCCACATGGCATGGGTTGGGTGCCCTTGCCAAGCCGGGGTGGGATCCAGGCTTCATTCCAGCACTTCTGCTCCACCATGGCCTTCAGCTTGTCAGTGGCCGAGTTTTTTAGCATGCATGTGCCGCATGCTTGACAGACCAGGCACTGGTTCTGAAACACAAAGGTGTGGCTTCCCATCCCTTGGTAGGTGCCCTCCAGGATCTGGGTGATGAAGTCCTTCTTTGAAGGCGATGCGGAGTTGGTTTCTCCGCCAACCAAGCTTGTGGGATTGCCTGGGCATCTCTCAGCCTTGTAGGCCTGAAGTTCCGCCAGCTTGTTGTGCATGGTGGCCCTTTTGAGGCATAGCCCGCATTGCTTTGCTCTGCCCTTCACTTGCCAATGATGTTGGCCCTATAAAGAGCAGGGCTGGGAGAAAAAGAGGAGAGCACTCATTCTTGAATGGTTGTAGATTTCGTGGAGATGGTATTCTATCTGGCAAATCTTCTGACATTATGTCTGGCAATCTTTCTAGCATATCTTCTGACATTTTGTCGGGCACATCTTCGGACATTCTTTCTGGCATATCTCGTGACATTCTATCTGGCACATCTTTTGACATTCTATCTAGCAATGTGTGTGGCTGAATGCACTGACGGAAATGGTCTTGGTGAAGGCGCAAGGAACTGCAAAGGACCTGCAGGTAGTTAACGTGAGCCAACATGAAAAAAAAAGCGATGCCCGAAATATCTTTTTCGCTGTTGTCGGCCATATTTGGACTGTTGCAGGGGGGTGGAGAAGACATGTGAGGCTCCATCCAACGAAGCTCCTCACATGATCCTAGGATATCATCAGGGACGCTTGGTGACGTACCTGCACCGGAAACTGTGGACCACGCTTTTTCACTTTCGATTTGATTCATAGTGGTTCTTCACGATGCCGTCCCACAAACTGGTTTCCCTCCGCATTGCAGCAGCTGACCGCCGCCAGTTCGTTTGAGCGTTTTTTGCAACATTTGTTCAACATTCTGTTGATCGCGGACTTTGCCACCATTCCGTTAAATAATTCCTTTTCTCGAGGAACTGAGCTAACTGCAAACCCATTCTCTAAGTGTGTGTCATTATACAGTATGTGTATCTTGTACAAATCAGTGTTTTTCTGAATTCCTATCTGATTCTCGCTTCGGCCTGACGTTGTGCATCGATCGGCAAGGCTCGCAGCGCACCTTCGGCTGAGGCCTGCATCAGCGGAAGGAATGGCAACCGGTCATTTCCAGGTACATCACCCGGTCCCTCTCCAGGAAGGGAGGGGGGTGGTTTCATACATGTCTGCTAATGTGTGCGGATGGAGTGGACAGGTGTCGGAAAGGCATTTTCGAACAGTAACATATCATGAAACTTACAACTTCCAAGTAAGAGACAACCACTTCCCCTGGAATGAAATCTGGAGACCGGGAAATGCGTATAGGGTACGCCCCCCCCTGAATGTACATTTATGTTGCCCGGTGATCCAGGTACAGTAATCCCATCCTCCTATTAATAAACACGGCCCCCCCCCCCTATTAAAAAAACCTCGGTCGCATTTTTTCTAATAGGGGGTCCCTGAAATCGGGGGGGGCAAAATAGGGTCACCTGGAAAGAGTTTCAAAACCAAAAAGTAATCCAGGAAAATTTTATATAAAATCCTTTATTAAACTCATATCAAAATGCAAAAAACCGCCAGATCGAAGGGTCTTCCTTTTCCCCTACAAAAACCTTCATTAGAATAGTGATTCTTCAGTAGACTAACAGGTAAAGCTTTCGAAAGGTGATGTCGCTGTGCCATGCGGTGTTGCATGACCTCGGTGGCAAGTGCGTTTGCGTGAGTCCGTGCCATTGAGGGAAGGAAAGCCTGCTGGTGTAAGCGCGGCGTGTCATGGTGGAGTTTTGGGGAACCTAATAAAAAAACTACCCCCAAAATCGACCATGTTGGTAGTTTAGTAGCGGTTTGAAAGGGCGGCAATTTAAAACCAAATATAAACCGAATTTAGGGGTTCGGACGTGGTGTTTTTTAAATTGGGGAGGGTTTATTAATAGGAACTCGGGATTAGTTGATGTCTCAGGTGCTCCCGGTTTCTGAGGAAGTGGCATCCACTCCATACTGCATGATGAAGGCAGTCACCACATCCCTCACGCGGTAAGACCAATCGGAAACAAAGGTATCTACCAATGGCACTCAGGCTCCCGCCCAGAGGCATGAGCGGCTTGAACCGCAGCAGTGTTGCCCAGGGAGAGGTTCCTGGTCCGACCTCGACTAAACCAAATAATAAATGATCACTTTGCTCAGTGATCCATGGACCAAAAATGTGCTTCCTTTCTTTGGTCCAGGCTCATCTGCTCAGCCTGATGATTACTGTATATATGTAATCTGTCCATCTGTTTGGCTGTACATATAGTGGCTGAAAGTGTTCAAACATGTGAGGATGGCAAACGAACAAGAAAAAGAGGCCTTGTGTATCCTCGCCATGAGAACAGCCGAACTGTTCACACCCAGAATGGGCCTGCGGAACGTGCGATTCATTGATCACTCTCCGATCCATCACATGCAACGCGAGCATCGAGACTTGGTACATATGACTCGGAATGTCTCGACAGGCCCCTGGGCCATGATCTCTGCGGCCAAGTGAACCTGAGCCAAAAGGCCAGCATGCCGTCAGCCACAAGAAATCGTGCATGGGCGCTTACTCCATGTTACTCCTTTGCCTACTCTCCCATGGGCTGATCTGAGAGGTCCAACCGGCAGCCCCCGAAGGCTGATCTCGGCACGTTGGTCAACACCTCATGCACAATGAGATTTGCACGCTTCTAAATGCTGAAGTACCCAAAGAGAACATTGCACCCACAAGTGCTGGAAGCAGATGAGACCGAGCAAGAAAATGTGTGTCAGCAGCCCCAGCTGCATGACGTCCAAAAACGGGAGAAGAAAGCATCATTGCAGGCAATGCCAGCTAGGTCCAGCGCCACTGGCTCTGCAAAACAAAGAGATCCTCAGCGCACAGTGTGCCATCTCTATTCGGGGCGAATTTCGGCGCAAATGCGCTAACTCCCACGGAGTCCAAGCGTTAAAAGGTTGACTTTGATGGTCTTCGGGTGTGTGTGCAGTGTTCTGTGAGCGCGCGGCTGGTCATTCTGCCCTGGAGCACCTTGTCCTGCAGCTCGCCCTCCAAAGTTACCCAGCCTAACTAGTTGAGTCTGGCGGCCCTTTGAGACCGTCTAACCAGTTTTGAAGAGACCTTCTAACTGACCCCTTCTGCAGTGCACACGTCCAGTCATTACTATGCCCCATGCATCGGCCACTCCACTTGTGCAAAGCTCTCAACGGGAAAACCATAGAAATGAAACTTAGTAGCTGGCGCCAGGACCATTGATGGCTCGCCTTTGATTGCAATCTCAGGTGCCTTGGCTGCATGATTGACTGATTTGCTGTGGCCAGAGTGTGACATTAAAGTAAGTGTGCTAGAATTCACAAGCGGGCCCCCTCACAGGAGCATGGGCCCGCTCTGCGAGAGCAGCTTGCTCCTGGCAAGTTGTCGCACTGGAGGAATCTGGCCAGCACAATACCTCTCACCCTTGTATATAGGATTGGCCACAACACTCCATTTTCCCTTCAAGAATCGACAACCATAGGCGTCAACGGCGCCGGCCACATCAACGCATTTTTGCGTGATGGGAAAGCACTAGTTAATTTAGACAGCCAATTTGGGCTGCCCGCTGCCCTCTCGACGGGCTTCGTGCCAGCTGCCAAGCGAAAACAGCAATAGTCTAAAGAAAAATGCCAGACGTAGTACAAATCCTCTTAGAGGAGCTTGAAAAACGTCCAATCTATGCCAAATGTCGCCGCAACTTGCCTCCTGTATATGACGTGTATAATCATCCCATGAAGTTGCTGCATCAAGCCTCCTCAAGCGATTTGTGTGTGCACTGGTCAGTTCGTTTTGGGGATATTCATGTATGTGCGCTTAAAGTGCTCCAGCTCTCTTGTGCTTTCTTGAATGTATTGCACTAGCCACTGTGCCTATAGTGGTAGCCTTGCTTTAGTAAAATCTCTCCGTCTGCTAGTGTGTGCCAAGCTTATCCATTTTGCCTGGGTGTGTGACTCAGCACTGAATGCGCCTTCTTGCCTGCATTGGGTGCTTGAACTGGTTTGATGTGTTCCTAGTCACTAGTGCTCAGTATACGACTCACCGTCCCCCTCGAATTGTCATATGTGAATAGGTGGAGACGGTTTCTTCTAGGTCAATGTTGCCCCACTCCTCGGCAAAGGTGGGCACTCTTTGACAGCGAATGACATCCCTGCTTCCACTCCAAGGTCGGAAAGTGGCGTCTTGGCGTGGCACTGCTGTGTAAAGGAAGCTGGAGAGCACCTGGCAAGCGAGCGAGGACCACAAGCACATCAGCCACCAAGTCAGACTAGAAATGGCGTCCTGTCCAAAAAGGCAAAACCTCCTAACACATCCAAAATGTCCAAAAACATCCAAAACTTACGTCTTCACCCCAGCTATGCATGAAAACAAAAATGAAAACAGCTGCCTTGCGGACTCCTTCCAAGTCGGCCACCATGCACTTCAGCTTGTGCCACCGCTCCAGTTTTGCCATGCGAGCCGCTTCACACTGCTCAAGGCACTTCACAAAGTAATCCCTGAGACACAAAGATCATCTGGATAGGTGGGGATCAACCAGGATGGAGTAGAATGAAGTAGGTGGATGGTGCTGAGCTGCTGATTGGGGATTGCGGGGTTTACTAAATCGTTGCCAAAAGCTCAGAAGCCATATCTCAGCAAACGGGTCCGGTGCATGCCCCCCGCAGACGGTCAGACATTGGGCGCCTATCACGGATGGAGAGCAAAGGCTGTGCTCGCACCAAGTGAACTCCAAAAAGCTGAGCGCTGCTGAACCTTCGAGGCCAAAGATGTGCATCGATAGGATCCTCAGTGCAGCTGGACTCTGCTTCTAGGATTGAAGTGTTTGTCCACACCTGAGAAGCTGCAAAACGAAAGCCAGCGCTTCCCTTTCTCGACAACTGCGCGTCGAAGCAATCAAATGAGCTCGCGCAGCCGCTTGCGGCCGCGTGTCAAATCTGCTTCACGTCTTGTTCTGCCCACACATAGGTAACCATGCAAAAGCAAAAAATGCACTCTTGCATCACCACCCGCTCCAAAATCACTAAAGCATCACCTCCAAGAGTTTACGTATACCTTTCTCGGGCCACTCCAAGAGTTTACGTATACCTTTCTCGGGCCACCCCCCCGACCCCCGACCGACTTCACACATAGATAATTCCCATCCACATTCAGATGAAGCAAAAGCCAAACAATGCACCAAAATTCGAGGTGGCCTGGGACTAGAGGCTCGCTGCCCGAAACTATATGTTCAGGCCACCTCAAAAATGAAGATATGCGAAGCAAAGGTCCTGAGGTGTCTCTGTGACAAGGCTTTTGTTAAAACAGACAGTTTTTCAAGCTAAATTCAAGGTGGCCTCAGACCAGGGTTTGCTGCCCTAAAACACTCTGTTCAGGCCACCTTAAAAATGAAGGTCTGCGAAGCGAGAGCAGAGGATGCACATTGTCCTTCTGCTGCTTGAATGTGGCCTTTTGTTTACTTAAAAGTTCAAGACCTCCCAGCTGTTTCCACCTCTTCGCTTCCCAGTCTTCCCAGGGTTCATCTAGGGAGCCAGGCCATCTTCAGAATCTTCTGGATTTGAGCTGTTTGAGTTCCTATTGAAGGGTATAGTTGGCGAGTGCGTCACCACCCGCTCCAAAAGCATCAAAGCATCACCCCCCAGAGTTTACGTATATCTTTCTCGTGCCACACATGCACAGCAAACCACAGCTTTGAAGTCTCATTCGTGCTTTGAACTTGTATAGGTGTGTAAGAGGTATAGCAACATAGCATTTGTACGGACCCAGGGTAGCTACAATTCTGTTCCCAGGCATCGCGCGCATGAGGCTTCAAAGCTGTGGTTTTCAAGCTAAATTCAAGGTGGCCTGAGCCAGGCCATTTTCAGAATCTTCTGGATTTGAGCTGTTCGAGTTCCTAGTGAAGGGTATAGTTGGCGAGTGCGTCACCACCCGCTCCAAAAGCATCAAAGCATCACCGCCCAGAGTTTACGTATATCTTCCTCGAGCCACACATGCACAGCAAACCACAGCTATGAAGTCTCATTCGTGCTTTGAACTGGTATAGGTGTGTAAGAGGTATAGCAACATAGCATTCATACGGACCCACGGTAGCTACAATTCTGTTCCCAGGTATCGTGCGGATGAGGCTTCAAAGCTGTGGATTGCTGTGCGTGTGTAGAGGTTATCGAGCGGTTGACGGAAAGGGAACTTGAAGTACTATACCTGGTAGCTGCACTATAGCTACCCTGGGTCTCTATACCTGGCAAGGTGCCAACTACACCTTTCCATTCAGATGATGCAAATGATGCAAATTGCATTTCTTGCATCACCACCCCTCAAAAATCACCTCCAACACAACCTCAAAAAACCTTCCCTCGACGCACCCTCCTCCCCCAGCATGTGCCGAGTTTACGTGTACCTTTTGCGGGCCACCCCCCCAGACCCCCTAACTACTCACTTCGTTCGCCAAACACAACTCCGTTGGCGCCTTCTACGAAGGCTGGCTTTCGTAAAATTCAAGGGTTCTTGAGAAGTTTAAAGGTGTACTTACAGCGGTACTTGCTACATAGATCTATATTTCTTTAACTCCGCTGCATGTTTGCAACAAATCCTTCGGGACAGCTCGGACCTTCCCCAGCTGTTCTGTCAAGCATCCACAATATGCGGATCATCAGGGCCGATGTGATCATCGAAAAATATGCAATGCTCGCCAGGATCCATCCTGCCGAGAAAGACAGGCTTGCCACCGCGTGAGGTTGAGCCAACTGCAGCCCAGCCTGACAACAACATCTGAGTCTGAATTTGTGGGTTTCAGGCTGTTTCAGGTATAAAATGTGGACACGCGTTTGCATAGATTCGCTGGAGCTATCAAGGTTGAGCAAATCACACAAGAAGAGATGAATTGAAAATGGGTGAAAAATGATAGAAAAGGATGGAAAAAGACTCGATTGTTGACTGGGTGGAACACGAATGCAGATCTGAACACGAATGCACCATCATCCGCCTGGGTAGAAGTCTCGCAGCGCGATGGTACGTTTCTGGGACGAGAGCCTAGTGTAATGCTTGAAGACTTGGTGCACACCTGCGCGGGAAAGCTCATTTTCGGATGTGGTGTCGGTGGATGTTGGTGGCCATACACAATGATACACATGCCAAGCGGTGGATGCCACCAGTGTGCTTTCCATCATGCCAACATCTCCCCCACCTTCGTGAGTGACAACTTTTTCTTTGTCATCCCAAAACTCAACCCCCTTCTCAATGGAATCCGGCTGCTCGATGCTGCCCATGACAAGAGCCTAATTGCACAGGACAACGGTGGAAAACTTGGTACAAAAATACGCGGCCGGCCATTTAAGGAGGACAAAAGCAGTTGGTCCTTGAGCCCACAGCACCAGCACAGCCACGTCAGCAAGAGCTGCAGCATAGGAGCCATATGATCATCGGCAGTTGGATTGCGGAAGAAAGTCCCGCACGAATCCACAGAGCCAAACTGCATCCGATAATCTGGCAGGCCATCCTCAGTGAAGTGGAATTCTGTTCTGCCCACCACGTGTAGTCCAACCCCTCATCCAAAATCGCCGGAAACTGTTTCAAACCAAACCCATCTCAATGAATGGCAGAGACTGCCAAACGACCCGCTGAACATCTCTAGATCTTCAAGATTCTTTCACACTTCAGCCTAGGCTCAGAGCCGTCCAAAACCACAATGTCCTCCTTGCGAAACAGCGGGTGCCAGCCTTGACACAAAGCCTCGATCTCCTGGCTGGCGGAACTATACAGTAACTCGAAACCAGAAGCGCGGACCCCCTGATGCAGCATAATCCAAAGCTGTGACAAAGCCCCTCCTTCTGCAGTTTCGGCAGGTCATTTCCAAAAGTCCGGAAAATGAGAGTAAAGCTTCGACCCTGTCGTTTCAGCTCTCCTTGGTTCTGCACACTAATGCATTGATCGGATTAATAAACCGCCCCCCCCCACATGGTCGGTCAACAAGGTCTGAGATACCACTCATGAGGTCCACCCCCCTGAATTATCGGCTCAGGGAGCCATCGTAGTCGCAGTCGTCGTCGGTACTAGGTACTAGGTACTAGGTACTAGGTACTAGGTACTAGGTAGTAGGTAGTAGGTAGTAGGTAGTAGGTAGTAGGTAGGTAGTAGGTAGTAGGTAGTAGGTAGTAGGTAGTAGGTAGCAGGTAGTAGTAGGTAGTAGGTAGTAGTAGTCACAACAAGTTCAAACAAGCACAAAGAAAAGGCCAGATTATTGATGGGGGATCGGCCCTTGTGAGGGGTACCCTTTGTGAGCTTGTCAAATGATTGTTTTTAATTGTTTTTTAATAAGGCAATTTATAGGCCCTGAGCCCTAGACATGTTTAAGGATTTCATCAAACATGTAGTAGGTAGTAGGTGGTGATGGTGGTGGTGGTGGTGGTCGTGGTAGTAGCACGTAGCAGTAGCAGTAGCAGTAGCAGTAGCAGAGCAGGAGCAGCAGCAGCAGCAGCAGCAATAGCTAGTAGCTAGTAGCTAGTAGCTAGTAGCTAGTAGCTAGTAGCAGTAGCAGCAGCAGCAGCAGGAGGAGTAGTAGTAGTAGTAGGAGTAGCAGTAGCAGTAGCAGTAGGAGTAGTAGTAGTAGTAGTAATACGAAAAATTGACCTGGTTGTGGGCTCGGGTTAACTGGGGGGGATTGTTGGTAGAAAACTAGACCATAGGGGGGAAAATCAACAGCCAATAATACTTTTAAATTGGGCAATTTCCGGCGGCTTTGTGGGCTCGGGTTAACTAGGGGGGATTGATTAATCCTGACTTTGCATTAATGTTGATGTATTGCAAATAGATGCATTCAAACCCAGCCCACAATGCCAGCCGGATTCGGGATTTCTAGTTTTGATTAGTTTGGCACATCCCAGCATCGCAAAAAGTGCAAGAAGGACGGCAAGAGCTGCACTGCTTCACTGGTAAGGCCAGCATCTGCAGCCTGGTTAGAGCCCCGCACATCTTCAGGTAGCAAGAGCTTCTCCTGCATCTGCTCCAACTCGTGCCTGAAGACCTCCGGTGAGTCCCATGGATGGTGCAGAATGTATCGTCCAAATGGGTTTTACTCGATGTTAAGCTTCCAGAGCACGTACGTCCGTGCTACACGGGTTCCTGCACTAGCCCCACACAAGCGTAAGCTTCCACGGACTTCCCCGGCGGGCTTTAAAAGTCAGTGGTCAAATGAATATACATATATATATATAGAGTTGGAATCCGGAAGGATGCCAGCAGTTGTTCATCTTAATGTTTGATGAGGGGGCCCGCGAAGAACCATGCATGTAAATGCACATAGTCCACAAAGAGGTCGCTTTCTCTGTGTAGCGTTTCTACTCTCACTCTCTCTCCCTCTCTGCTCTCTTGGCGTGACCGTCAACATCGGCCATCCCAAAGCAACGCCCACAACTTCGCACTAGGTTGTGCACCGAATGCAGGAATGGACATGATCTCTACTATCAGGCTGTCTGCTCATGCTGCAATGGTTTCCGTCTCACCACTTTCGTTCTCAGTTGCATGTTTTATGCTGATGCCTCTTGTCTTGTTTGCTGTTGGTCTCTGCTGCTGGTGCCGCTGGTGCTTGTGCTTCTTTTCTTTGCGTGCCCTTCCGCATCGCTATCCTACAAGTAAGACTCTGACCTCAGTTTGGTTGTTCACGTTTGGGCACACTAGACTTCCATTGATGATCAAAGGCTTATGCACTCACATAGCAAAGCGCGATCGCTGAGAACAGCGCGACTGCAAATCTGAACATTGATGATTCATGGCTGCTTGACTTCATACTTCATCTCGTGCCTCACCCGGCATTCCCGGATCAGTGAAGGCCCAAAGATCTGAGCGCCGCTGTGCTTTGACCTTCTCATTGGCTGCCCTGAGAGCCGTTTTCTCGGAAAAGTCTTTCTTGTCGGGAAATGGATTTCGAAGGACCACGAACTCCGTGTAGGTTTGGAGGCCCGGCTTTGGCTGCTCTGTGCACAGCTCAAAGTGTTGGCAGGTCCAAGAAACTGCCAAACCGTCCGTGTACTGGATGCTGCCCCAGGCGGAGTTGGACAAGACCATGGCAATCAAACCCTTTGAATCAGCTCCAGTGGCCGAATCCAGCATAACAATGGTGTTGTTAACATCAAAATTCAGCACAAGATGAGGCCTCTCATTGCTGGGATGAGCGTGACCCTTCCGGGATGCATGAAGCACTTCCACAAAGGTGTGATACTCAATGCCTCCTGAGCTATCAGGATCCAAGTCCCGGATAATCTGACCAGCTTCAGCATGCGTCACCTGTGCCGGGTCTTGACCACGAACATTGACAAAGTTCATCCAAGTATCGGATCTAATTCCACGTCCCCCAAGAAGCGTCACAATGGAGCAGCAGAACTATGTGCCAAGTCACTGCGAGGGAGGAGTGATTGTTCTTGCACTCGAAGTCGCTTAGTAGCATCAACGCGTCCATCATCTCTTGCGCATCGATGGTCCCATCCCCGTTTCGATCAAGAAATGTAAAGAGTGATCGTGCTGCATCCTCGCTCTCGTCATGCTGGACATTCCACCGCCAAAGCCATTTCTGGAACTCATCCCAGCAAATCCTCTCATCTTTGTTGTGGTCAATCTCATCGAAAATGTGGGCCTCATTGTGCTCCGCATGGTGCCGAGAGTGAGTAGGCCCAACACACAGCTTACACTCAACTCTTTGCAATCGGCAGAGTTATATATATATATATTAGGACACAGACTTCAGAGATCTTCTGAGTTAGGAATGATATATATATATATACATATGCATAAATATATACACATTTACTGAATATGCAGAGACAAGCAGCGACAGCGTCTGCAGTTTCTGCCGTCTCTCCAGGCAGGCTCATTTCAAAGCTTTCTAAGACCTTGCCACATGAAACAGCGTGTGCTGTATAAAAACACCAATCAGGAGCAAATTGATCTCACCAAATCATATGTCTTTCTCTCTCTCTCTCTCTCGAGCCCACCTCGTGCAGCTGTTTCTTTGTGACGCCTTCATCATCCCTGTGGACAAGTTTTTGAAAGATGCGACGAAAATAGCTGATGAGGAAAGGCTCCTCCACCTGACCCAGGCTGCAATGCACAGGACTCGGCGCGACGTGACTTCATGCTGGTGAAACATCTGCAGCATGCACTACACCAGGCCTCTTTTGACCTAGGCTGCATTTTTAGCATCACAATCATGACAAAGACTGATTGAGCGTTGCCAATTGTTCATTCTATATAGATTCTAGAAGGCCGAGTCACATTTTCCGTCGCCTCCTGACAACCTGCTCCTGGCACGTCAACCGACTTGCGCTCCCGCCGGCAACTCCTTTCAATGCTCCCTTAGAAGGTTCACCTCATGCGTGTGAAACTCCCAGTCCTTCGGCGGAGGAAAAACGAACTTCACGAAGTCCTCATACGAAACTTGTGAGCTTCCACTGTTCACCACCGAAAGCAGTGCGTCGGCATCTGCCTCTGCAAGCATGCTGGGTGTATTCCAGGTGCACTTGGTGGCTTGGCACTAATTAGGCTCTTGCCAACCTTCAAAGGGCAATGTTCGACCACAGCCCCGCCTTGGAGATACCGATCTGAGTTAAAACCTCGCCGAGCAGCTCTTTGCCTGAGCATCGGAAGCTCGGAGGGTGCCATGCGTCCGGTTGGCTCGGAGGGTACCACGCCCTCCAAGACTTAAGACTCTTGACTCTTGACCAATTGGGTTAGTTTTGCACCTGCAAGTTGCCAGGTCCTAAAGGCACTTGACAGCATTTGTTGTGGGCACCCTTCTGAAGCAATCAGGGCACATACGTGAGTCTCAGGGATGCAGTTGCTGAAGATCTGATGCACCACTGCTTGTGGAGTCGGCTCAGCCGGCTCCAGCTCCAGTTCTTTGGATTCGGGCCGCATGGCAGCCGACTAGACTGAAGTCGCCAAAGTGACTAAAGTCAAGAATGTTTCATTCTTGCCGTACTCTTCCTGCCTGTGAATCATAAAGATTGTGCTGCACCAAGTCTGGGCGGATGACTGTTCTTTGGCTTGAGGTGCTTCCGTCTGAGTCTCTCAGGGTCTGAGCAAAAAGGCAAAGCCAACTTGCCTTGTGCAACAGGATGCTGGCCCAAGCTAACCACACTGGTTTAGCATGTTTAATCATACCCTGCTTTCGTTCTGCTGTAAACAACGCTGTACAACTTAACTTAAAACCCACAAGACACATTTAAAAAAAATAGCAAACTAGACCTTGATTGGACGCGTTTTCCTCAAGAACTAGTGGTTCTAAACTCTAAACACTACAAATGGAATATTGAATATTGATCTTCCCAGATCACAAGGGTCCAAAACATTCCACCAAAACACCCTCGCACACTATCCACTAGTGGGCCTCGGGGCAAGGGATATATTGGAGGAACAAAGCGCTTTAAAAGACCTTCAAGAGAACTCATTCCCATTTGCATGCGTGTGTGCTTTCTTTTGCTTCCCCGTGCTACCCAGGGCCACAATGTTGAAGGCCACAACCATGCTCACCCAGGCTTCTGCCTGGCAGAATGCCTCGAACTCGGCCTTTTCCCGAGCAATGTCCTCGCACAGCAACAACCAAATCAAACAATAATGCTTGTGTAATAGCCGTCTTAGCCGGAAATATTCTTTAGTAGTGGGACCCATGTTGTGGGTCAGTGAAAACACGGCCTCAAGCATAAGCAATTATCTTGCCATGACTCAACACGCGAACGGAAGATTTGTCGGTAGACTGGCATGAGGATGCTGAGTTCATGGCCGCTGCAGTTTTCACAGGGACAGGCCTCATAGAAGTCAAAAAGCAAACAGATTGAGGATGATTCAAGCCTTTCAAGCCTTTCACTGATAAGAGCCTTGCGGCCGTGCTGGGGTGGTGCTGGCCTAGCGGTGTTTGAACCAAATCTATGGCCACCCCCTCACCTGTTTAGAAGTTACCCCAACAAGCCCCAACTCGCCTCACTCCATGGTGACCAGGATGCATATATAGTGTGTACATGTTTGTTGTTATAGTTATCAAATGTTATTACTACTATTGTTGTTACTATTGCTATTATCCCTGTATTATCTTATGTTTATTGTTGTTATTTTTACTACTATAGTATATATATAATCCTCCCGCAATTCTTGCACGAACAACCTGGCCTTCGGAGCCCGGGCATCCTTGCTTCGCCTGCCAATTTCTGGTCTGATTGCACGCAAGGACAACTCCTGACGATTGTCTTGGGCGGAGGCGATCGTTCACGATGCTCGCCTCAAATCCAGTGCTTCATAGCGTTTCTAAGAATTCTGTGGCCAGATCATGTCCACAGTACACCCCAACATTGCTTACTGAGCTTGAGAGAGCATATACTACAGTCCAAGGCACGATCCCGATCCCGTTGCCTTTCACGCTCCCGATCACGCTCGCGTTGTCTATCCTTCCTTGGTGGAGTGTGTCTATGCAAAACTAACATATGGAACCTTGCTGTCCAGCAAGTCAACTTCCATTCACAAATCCCATAGTCATATATGTCACTATATGTCACCAATGATGCTACTTTTGCTGCTCAAAGCTCTCTCGCTTCTTCCGCCGGTCTCTCGACCTGCATTGATTGACGCACTTGCTGTCGCTTCTCTTGACCGAAGAGTCCGAACTGTTCGACCGACCTGCCTGCTCTCACTCTCAGAGGAGTGATCGCGGCCTGGAGTCAGGTGCAGCACACACCGGGTCAGCTCAAACTCTAATTAACATACACACATACTACATATGTATATATATACATATATACATATAAACTGCATCTGCCAAACCACCAATGAGCTTCACACGCTTTCTGCTTCTTTCTTTAGCTTTCCTGACGCATACACCCCCGTGAACCCTGGTCAAACCCATTGTTTGCTAATCCATGGCATTACAACATCTGGGTTGTAAGAACCAACGGCGCACCTGCTGCTCTCTCTTTTCCTGGACTCCTCGTCCTGGTATAAATGCCCAAGTTGTTGGTCAGCCACTCACTATGATTATTGAAGCGCTTAAAAGGGATCAAAAAGGTGTTTCTTTGTGTTTGATCGCTGCCCTCTCTGGGAAATGACCCTTCGCAGTCGCAGGTTGTCCATGGCGGACAAGCTCCCACAAGTGTTGCACTTGTTGAGTGTATGCTGGAATCCTTGCGAAGCTGCGAAACTAAATAGATTCTGGTGGCATACTGATGGGGGCCATCACTGCCTTGCAGTGGCAGTGGCGGCAATCTGTGTGAATCTGTACTCAACCAGGTGGAAATTGCCCCAGCACAGTCCGTTGAACCAAGGGTTCCACGTGCCCAAGCGGATCCACAACCAGCCTCTTCTTGAGGCTTCTTGTCTCTTTTCTTTTCTCTTGGCTCCTTGGCCTTTGCAGGGCTATCAGTCCCCACAGTTCAGGCCACATTCACAGCCTACCATGACGATTCAACAAAATGCCTGCCCAACCCTCCACCTCACCTCATCTTTATCCTTGGCCTTTTCTTTTGGCTTTGTCTCTTTAGCCTCTTTACTCTCTTTAACCTCTTTAGTGTCTTTGTCCTTTTCTCTAGGCTTGTCTTTTGCAACTTCTTTCTCTTTTTCTTTGGCCCTTTCTTTACTCTTTGTCTCCTTGTTGCCCTCCTTGCCATTCACAGCATCCTTCTTTCTCTCCTTGTCTTTTCGGTCCTTCTCCTCTCGATCCTTCTCCTTCTCTTTCTCCTTCAGCCCGCGGCCAAAAATATGTTTCCAGTGCTCTACAGCCTAGCTTAACACATTTAACACAGGAGAGGGAACAAGCCGAAGCAAGTTTGGACCAATCTTGCCCACCACCTTCGTCTTTCCTGCTACCTTTGCATCTTTCTCCTCACGCGCAACACAAATGGAAAGCACCAGCACACTGCTAATTGAGCCATCCCGATTTTTAGTTTCAGGGTACCGAGCTGAGAGATCTGCGATGCCTGTCACACCCACCTGCTTGTTTACGGACCACCTTTCTTTTTGCCCAAGCATGCCTACTCTTGCTCCTGTCAAAAAGTTCATTGCCTCAAATCTATCGCATTCCTTGACAATTGTAGGACCCTAGTCTTGAAATGTCTTCAATCCGATGTAACTAATCAAGGCATCAAAGGACGAAAGGACAAAAGGAAAGCTCTCACTTCTCGATGCTGGTCAGATGTGGTCGGCCATTGTTCTCCTACGCCCTCGCACACTCTTCACAGAAGTCGATGCAGCAAATGTCACAGCGGTGTAGCCACGTCCCTTGTTCGAAGTGTCGCTCACAGCCATCACAGTTCCAGCCTCTTTCGTAGTTTAACCCGAAGTTGTCTGGGGTAGCTTCTGCAAGACGCAGCTGCCCAAGGTGAGGGCACTCAAGCGCCTTGTACACGTTACTGTTGCGGCCAAAATAGGTGAAAACACTCCTTTCAGAGCAGCCCGCCAGTCTTTCATTTCTTGGAGGCACCTCTGCCTGTCTGCACACATCTGATGGATGAATGACACTGTGCACCCATCGTAGATATCCAAATCGCCCAGGGTCTTAAAATCCAAGTCTGGTAAAAGGAGCTCTCCACCAAAGACCAGCCCGACCTCCAGGAAATTCACGCTGAACACTTCTGCAACAGACCTGCGCAAGTGGAGCAGCAGTGATGTCTCCCTGAATCCTGGGATAGGTCGGCATTCTCCAGCAAGGTTCGCCACATTGATAGTTGAAGGGCCATGCAGGTTGCCAATCCAGGTCTCTGCGAAGTGTTTCCGCTGCTCCCAAGCTTCATGCTGCAAAAAGCTCTCATTGGGCTTGGCAAATTGCCAAAGCACTTGCGCTAAGAGAGCCCAGGGGAACGGTAGCAACACAAGGGAACCAAATAACATGATGTAGAAACTGTACTCTCCCGCGCCTGGATCTATCGAGTGGAGAAGGTGTAGCTCGAGCAAGGCGGACAGCCTCTCTTTGAGAGCCCCGCAGCCCTTACAACCGTCCTCTCCCACTTGTTGACCTGTTGGGCAGCAGCACTTTCCTGCAGTGCTTTCTGTTCTGCAATCAGGTACAGCTTGTTGTCCATCGCAGGCCTTCAGCCTCTCCGGCAGCTGTTGCGCTATGGCGTTGTCCATGGCTCGTGCGTAGTCTTTCCGCTCCTCGCCCCACCAGTGCAAGTGTGTGGTGCCTGTGGCTGTCTGCGGAACCGAATTGCTTCCCACCGCCCAGGCCACGGGAAAAGCATCAGTGCTCGTGTCCCTCCCGAAGTCCACTTGCGACTGCGGTATGTCGGGGATCAATGGCACGGCGTAGACGCAAGTTATGGAGCAGTGCTTCCCTCCTCTCCAGCTCCCGCCCCTGATAGTCGCCGCCCAACTTCAGAGTTATCGGCGTCCAGGTCATCCATTCGGAGCAGTGGAACCTTTGAGGACACATTGCTCAAACCGGCCTCTCGCCGACAGTCTTTCTGGGCACATTGACTAGCGCTGCAGTCGAAGCAGCCTGGCTGCCACCTATGCGGCTGAGATCCAGCCGAGCCCCCTCCAGGATCACCAAACCAGCGCCGGCTGCATTTCCGTCATCAAACCGGGCCAGGCTCAAATGCCTTTCCGGACGTTGTCGCAGGAACACATACAGAGAACCATTGGAGCCCAAAGCAAACCAGGGTGAAGAGGCAAATGCCTCCACAACCTCCATCGTGTTCGATCCAGCTGGTGCAGTGGATGGTCCACTCGTGGGAAGAAGGCAGGGCTGAGACCACAAACAAGCCCAAGAGCAACCAAGGCTACCGCCAGGAAGAAGGAGAAAGATCCCAGGCGCTCATCAATGGACATGCGGTTCATACAGAAGACCAGCATGGGCAAAGTTGCTGCAGTCATCAGGGTTGGACTGCCATCGAACTTCAGTGGACCCCTCATCAGCACAAATCGCATCAACAGGGCAGTTGGAGGGAGTATATAGACATTCACAGCTTGAGCCTTGCAGCAGAACAACATCGCTATATCTATCCATCTATCCACCTATCCAGCTATCCATCTGTCCATCCATCCATCCATGTCTGTGTGTGTGCAATAGCTGCAACTACTAGGCAGGGACCTCAGGATATTTCAGGATAGAACTGTCTCCCATGTCAATTCTTTGGTCCAGCACGAAAGGTAAAAGTACCACCAATAGCGCCATAACTTGTAACCGCAAGGGTCTACAAATGTCTACAGTGATAGGGGCCCACAGTTCTACAATGAAAGTTGGACCACCTGATCACCTTAGACCTTGCGCTGTCGAATCCTGGAGGGGTGCCCATTGCCCATTCCAGCCCAAGTACTTATTAAGGGTCTCAATTGTTTCATATCTTTGTGTGTGTGCCCGTGCACGTGCATATTTAACATCCACAGGCGTGTGGTCTATACATATATAGTATCATATTCTAGACCTGTTATGGACGTAAAAGCGACTGAACACTAATGTCATTTGAACTTTTCCGGGTCAGGCATACTTAGCAACCTTTTGTTGCCGAGTCTGCTCGCCAAGTGGAGGTTGCCTGACAAAGCAATAGTCTTGACAACTGGCATGGTCTGGAAACATACTTGCTCAGCACATGCCTTACCAAGAAAGAGAATACATAGTCCACAAAGTACCGCAGGAAGCCCTGTCCGAAGTGATGAAAAGGAAGGTCATGCAGCGTGTCAGAATCGAGCCTGCGGCAACTTTGCCATGGGGCGCGTGCCAACCTGTGCTGCATGATATGGTGCAGCAAACCCTTCCTCTATGGCATGTTAGACCCGATCTTAAGGGGTCCTATGCGCAGAATGTTGCACATGTCTTTGACTGACTCTGAGGTTGCGCAAGACATCCTAAATATGATCCAAGAACTGGTCCAAGATATGTATGTCAAGTCCAAGGATAATATGGCACGGATCACGCACACAAAAAGCATGAGCGGTTAGGCAGCCAACGTTCTCCTTGCACACTCCAATGCCTCGGCAAAGTTCGCCACAAACAAAAGTAAAAGTGGAAGCAGCAACGAGTCAACTAACTCGGTAGATTTATATGTATTATTATATACATGAATATAGCTGAAACTTGATTCAGGAAGCAATGGGATATACTGCTGTGAATGTGAGAGCGTAGGAATGCGCAGGAGTAATGCTTGCGAATATGCTATGTGCCCATGGGCTGCCATGTGGATTGAATGAGGCGTAAGACAAGGACTGAATTTCATTAAACCAACATGGGAAATGATGCGACTGTGGCTGTTGACCGGTCACAGAACTCGCCAATTCCCTCGGCATTCAATTATCTAGCAAAGCATGGGTACAAGACATAGGTGTTGAGACATGCTGAGGCGCTGACAGAGCAATCGCCTGTATGCCCAATCACCTTTCGGTCGTACACGTAGTTGGGCACGAACACCAGCGCGAAGAAGCTCTGTGGAAGGCCCAAACGGACGATGCTTGAAGACTAGCCTGAACAATGCCATCAATGTGCGTCGGGATGGTGTGTGCTTCCCTGCAGTATCAGTAGCAGTGAGCTTTTGCACTCCAACCTCCGCACCTCGGTTCGCTCCCCTTTTCGCTCTGACCAGGCACCTCTTCGCAAAACAAGAGAGGATCACAATCAGGGGCAGGTGGATTCTTGAAAGGGTGGGGAAATGACAATAATTGCCAAAAGACACACAGGCCGTTTGCAGCTATAGCATGCACGTTTCTTTTGTCACCTTCGCAAAAATGAAATGAGGATGTGTCAAAATTGGATAGTCGCCAAGTGATATGGTAGTCGTTGGTGAGGTCTTCCACCCATCAATTTAAGCCCAAACAAATGGTATTCTGACCATCCTTCCGCATGAGTCTATTATAGATAGCGACAGACTGGCAACGTGGCACTATATAACTTCAACTGGTGCTCACGTAAATTTACAGCAAACTGCGCTTTCCCAACATCTCTTTGAGAAGTGGAAGCAAAATGCAGCAAAAATGATTGTCATCGCATCGTCACACACGCAATTCCTGCACGTTGAACTGCGAGTGCTTCCATCCTTAAAATATGCAGCGGCAGTGGCACGAATCTCAGCGGCTCAGGTCTTCCTTTTGACAAAGCGTCGCAGCCTGACATTGTCAAAATACTACCTTGACCCGACCCACGGCTTGCTTGACAAGTTGGCCTGTACTTGCAAGCAGCTGATATCGGAACCACACCCACACCAGTCACACCAAGTTGGTTTTCTCGACAAAGCTACACCAGCCTGTTGGAGAGCATGCCAAAAGGAGTGCAACTGGCAGAAGTCATTTTAATCAATGCAAAAAAATCAAATAGTTGTTCCTTCTTGTTTCTTGTTTCTAACAGCAAACATTGTTACTACTAGTAAGGCACCTGTTACTACTAGCGTGGCACTTGTTACTAGTAGGGGAGGACAATGCAAAAGTGTCAAAGCAGTCCTAGTTGACTCGCGCACCTGACAGGACCAGCTGCATCGGCATCGACATCCTGGGCTCGGCCTCATTTCAGCGTTCAGTCCGAATGATCTTTTGGTTTTTCGGTGAAACCAGGCGCGTATGGTTGGATCATGAGTGGCAGCCCGTGGTCCTGCCCAGTGGCGCATGAATCCATCGTACTCGTGGGGAAGGACATACTCAGCAATGACTGAGAATCCATCCTGACAGGGCATAGGAACAAGAAGCCACTAGTAACAAGGGGCATCGCTACTAGGAGCAAGGACGCTACTAGTAGCTCCTGGCCTTACAACAAGGAACAAACAGCTACTAGTAACAAGGGCATATCTGGAGGTCCCATCGTCGCAATATCAGAGCAATCGGTCCAATGTCCTGTAGGTCTACCACTGCTCTCCGGCCTGCAAGACAACATGACAAGTAAATAGAAAACAAACAGAACGAACTTGAACCCAATACAAATGCATACAATTGCACCAAAACAAGCTGGAAAGCAAACTTCCAGCGCCTTTTGCCAATCGAGCTTGTTCCTCTGACACTGGCATTGGATCGCCGAATCGGACGCCTCAACCAGCGTGTCAATGAAGTCTGAACATCTTCAGTCTCACCGAAACTGCCGAAACTTATTAAATGTTCAAACATCCGCCAATCTTCATCCTAAAATGATCTGCAGCACAGGCACTTCCATGTGTCGTCGTTGCCCGCCACATTCCGCCCCCTCCACATCCTGCGGCTGAAGGGTTTTCTGTTTGAGGCTGGTCGTGAGCGCTGTACTGAAGCCGTATATAAGCGTAGCCGTAGCCCTTCCGAATCCCAGAACTTGAGACCGTAGCCCTTCCGTCGCAAGCACTCCCTACTAACATCAAAAACCCCTCCAACAGCAAAGAGTGACAGGAAATCTGTCAGACAGATGTTCGCGAATCTAAAACTCTGACATGTTGGGACTGGGGAGCAGCACGAGCGGAGCACTTCCCAGCCCAAACGCCTGGAGGAGGGATTACCTCTTGAGAAGCAAATGGACCAGCGGCCACAGGCTGTGTTCGTTCAATGTAGAGCCCAGCAGCCTTGAGCTTGGCGTTTGGGTCCTGCCAAAACTTTCCAACACGGAGGCGTCCACACAGCATGGCAGGGTGCACGAGTTTGGCGAGTGGGACAACACCCTGGCCAGCCCTGGCCGCCCTGACCTCCTCTTCAGGCTCTTCTGGCTCTTTCAACTGCCACCACTCGTCCTGCACGTTGTGCCACAAGCATCAAAAAAAGGCTTCCTCTAGTGGAAAAAAATACCAGATAGAATAGAAATACAGACAGAAACTGATAGAGTGCAAACCCTGGGAACCTGGGAATTTGCCGATCAACCTCGCATTCAACAAAAATCATTCACGCAAATTTGCCCCGTCCGCAGCTTGGTCAACCCCTCCCACTGACTTATGCACTTCCGGTCCTTATTCAACCTTTCAATGTCGGATCTGTAGAGCTCCATCGCAGTATGATTGACCCAACCTTCATTCAAGGATTTTTGATCCAAGGTCGGCTTCGGTGCAGGGAAATCTACGGCCATAAGCAATTCCTGTCCAAGTGCGACATCCTGTGGACCACCAATCCCGGATAGATACATTTGTCCAAGCTCCACAGTGGCCAGTGTGTAGCCCCGGCTGTGGGCAGCCTCCATGTGCATCCTTGCCTTCACTCCATCTTTAGGGAAGACGCTGCCATTCAGGTATGCCTTCCCTAGCTCGAAAGCTGCCAGCGCGTCGCCAGATGCATCGGCTTTCTGAAAAAGTTCCATGGCCTTGGACATGTCTTTCTCTCCTCCCAACCCTGAGCGACACATCAAAGCCAACTCCAAGGTTGCCATAGTGTTTCCAGCTGCATCGGCTTCTGTAAAGAGTTGACGGGCCCTATAAGTGTCTTGGCCACAAACTTTTGTCCCTTTCTTGTGGCACCTTGCCAAGTGAAGCGTACCAAGAGCATCTCCTGCAGCGTGTGCTCGGTTGAAATGCTCGAAGGCCTGGCCATCATCACGTTCCACTCCAATTCCGGCTTGATATAGGACACCTGCCAGTACCATACTTTTGCTATGGTTCCTCAGATGTGCTATGCTCGGCGGGAGTGAGGACAAAAAGTAATGTAGTGGCAGATTCCATCTACTAGCGATGGCGTCCAACCTACTAGCAAATAAAAATTAGGAATATTTAGGAATGCTCAGCGAAGTGTCGCGTCCAAGGCCAGAGCATCATGCAAATACCCCCAGCACCTCTGAGACACCACAAAGCGTGCAGGAGTCTCGGGCGCAGTAGAGCGCACTGCACGGAGGTATTCAACAGCAGCGGCGCGACAAAGGCCAGTGGCTGACCATCGTCCATCTTCAGAGCATGCCGGGCAGCTGGATGAAGCACTGACCTCCTTCGGAAGAGCTGGGCGCAAAGAACTGACGCTGTGCAGTCCCCCTCTGTCTGACTAACGACTGTTGTTTGTCATGTTCTGGAAACTGTACACTGTACGAACAGTTCAATCTTATATACAACAAGCAAGCTGTTCTTCTCACAGTCTGCCGTCCTGCACTTCCAGTAGGCATGCTTCATGGAAATGATGACCACAACTCAACTGCAGCTCCCGGGCTTGGTCGCCTTCTTCGAAGGATGTGCGCAGGCAAATCCAGCATTCAGCCATGACAATCTAGAATGCAAGAACCTAGAACCGTAGGCATGAATGGAGCACTTCTGGCCAGTCAACCTACTGTGTGACTCGTGCTGCTTGCACATACTGGACTGCAAGCAATGATAACGAAGCAGTTCAGGTTTCCTAACTGCATGTTTGCTTCCATGTGCTTGGGACAGTGCATAATGGCCAAATGGTTCAAACAGTTTGTATTTTTCTGCGACGTCCAGAGCTGGGCGGCCACAGCAGTCCAGAGCTGGGAGACAAATGTAGACGCAGGGAGACAAATGTAAAGGATTGCAAGCGACATGCAGCCCAGAGCTGGGCGACAAATAAAGGATTGCAAGGCAGAGGCGGATACAGCAGTGTAGAGCTGGGAGACAAATGCCGGGATTGCGAGGACACATGTAAATAAATGTAGAGAAATATAAATTTAAGGATTGCAAGGCAGAGGCGGAACGTGACGGCATGACAGGCTTCTTTGCCACAGCCCTGCTGATGCTCTTCCACAGCCTGCAGCGCTGGGAGACAAATGTAAAGGATTGCAAGGCAGAGGCGGACACAGCAGCCCAGAGCTGGGAGACAAACGTCAAGGATTGCAAGGCAAAGGCGGACACCGCAGTCCAGAGCTGGGAGACACATGTAAGAGATTGCAAGGCAAAGGCGGACACAGCAGCCCAGAGCTGGGAGACAAATGTCAAGGATTGCAAGGCCGAGGCGGACACAGCAGCTCAGAGCTGGGAGACACGTCAAGGATTGCAAGGAAACAAAAAGATACAAAAGTGACAAAAGGAAACAGAAGGGAGACAAAAAGAAGCAGAAGGGAGACAAGACTGGAGACAAAGGGGAGACCAGGAAAACACAATTACCAAGAAGAGGGGTGACAACAAAGGAAACAAAAGGAAACAGAGGGGAGACAAGACGGAGACAGTGACGAACAAGAAGGGATACAAAAGGAAACAGAAAAGAGAAAAGGCAAACAAGAAGGGAGACAAAGGGAGACAGAAAGGAGACAAGGCGGACACAATGACCAACAAGAAGAGAGACAAGACGGGAGACAAAAGGAAACAGAAGGGCGACAAGGTGGACACAGTGACCAACAAGAAGGGAGACAAGACCGGAGACAAAGGGAGACAGAAGGGAGACAAGGCGGACACAATGACCAACAAGAAGGAAAACAAGAAGGGATACAAAAGGAAACAGAAGGAAACCAAGGCGGACTCAGTGACCAACAGGAAGGGAGACAAGAAGGGAGACAAAATTAAAAGGAGACAGAAGGGAGACAAGGGAAAACACAATGAAGGGAGACAGAGGGTGACAAGCCGGAGGGAAGGCGGACACGCTGTCCTGCAGCAAGGCGGACATCCAGAACCCCTAAAGAAATCACCTGGGAGACAAATGAATAGAAATGCTGCATGGCCAGCGGAAAAGGGCGGACACCAGCAGTGACAGAATGGGCGGACACATCTTAAGAAAGAATTGAG